CCATTTTGGGAACGAAGCAGACGGGAGGAGATCTTCAGGGCGTGCGCAGAGTACAAGGGCCGTCCAAGACATGGGAAATCGGATCCCAGGTTGCCATGCAAGAATGTCCATCTTCTCCCAGCAAATCATTGTATACCAAAAGGAGAAGGTGGGACAAGGCTTCCATTGGACAGAAACGGACACGACTAGCCATTTCGCGCCGAGATCATGACGGAATGCGAGATTAGTGTGTAGGGTTACAGCCATGGGTTGGGGAACCCATCTCCAAACAGCATGAAGACTCGTTGCCAGAAGCTACGCTAGATCAGAGGTATGGAAAGGCGAAACTCGGGCGAACACTGACTGCTTACGGCTCAGGTTTGACTTCCACTACTCTGCGAGATCTTCTCTACCTTTGCTAAAGTACTGTGCTGCCTAGGTCAATCCTTCTTGGCCCTGTTGTAGAGCATGACGCGTGATCCTGACTTAATGGGAGAGGCCTCATTGCCCAGTTATTTCCAAGCAGCCACTTGGCTCCGAGAGCCGTCATGTCTATCTAGCCGCTCCACTGGGCTCGCAGCCACGATCTGAGTGGGTATGATGCCTTGCCTGGGGGCTCCTGTCCGGGCCAGGCTACCCATGACTGATGACCTTTCAATGTGGCAGCCACAATTGACCATCACAAGACTTGAGACGAGAGGGTGTGGCGGCTCCGCCATCATTGTGGGTACCTGCCTCGGGATTTCTTGTTGTGTGGCAGCCATCACACTGAGAGGGTGTGATGCTCCGCCAGCATCTGGCTTGGCCCCACCCTCTGCCAAGCTCTCTGTGGCCTCCGGCTAGGATGCCTGCACGCTCACAGCCACAGTGAAGCGCACGACGCGGCTGGATCCGAGTGGGTGTGATTCTTCTAGTGCTTTGGCTGCTTGCCGGGTGGTGGCAGTCACAGTGGGTCACAGGGAGCTGTGACTGGAACGGCTGCATTGTGCCTGTCAATTAGACTACCCTGAGCGGTGTCCGCATCGGGTTTCCTCAAGCATCAGTGAATGAGTGGAAGTGCCCAAGCTTCATGGAAGTGGTGGTCCACAACAAGCACGCAGGCACCGACGACCTTCTGGACGGGGGAGAATGCGGCACGTTTCGGTCACCAGGCTCGATCTCAACTAAGTCCAAGGAGGCTGGGAGCTTGCAGCGGTGGCCGATTGCTTACAAAGTGGCCGTTGACTATGAAGAATGCTGAAACATCCGATCGTCGACTCACTGATGACATGTCCGCTCATCGTCCGCATCAGCCTGCTTCCTTGTACCAAGACCGCGCGTCATACTCAAGGAGCGGCCACAAACGGATGGACCCAGGGAGCACACACCGGGGCATTGTGCTCGACACTATTTAATTCTGGTCAGGCTTGCAACTTGCCACTGTCTGTCTAACCAGACTACATAGGGCCGGTCTATGAGCGACGACAATTCTCCAGCTACAACCCCACGCAATGAGCAGTTTCTTGCCTGGTCGGCTTCCAAACCTTGCCGAATTTGATGCAGGCGTCCAATTGCTCACAAAGCGGAAAAAGCCTCTGCGCCGCGGTCGTTCCCTAGCGCATGGGAAAAGGTACACAGTCGAGCAGTCCGACTTCATTATCTATGCCCGTCACGAGATGAAGTGGTCTTGGAACAAAGTCAAAGACGCCTTTGCGATGACCTTCCGGCAGGAACGAACTGTTCCTTGCCTCCAAGGGTGCTACTACCGGACTAACATGCATATCCCTATGTGGGACGCCGAGGGTTTTCTTCTCTTCGGCGAGAGAGACGCCACGAAACCTTTGCAATTCAATCTCAAAGGCGCGCAAGCGCCGCCGGATGATGACGTCGGCCTCGCACGTCGGCATCCGGAGAGGGCTGCCTTGTACAGCTGGGTTGATCCTTCGGTGCAAAGCCAGGCGCGCGCTTGGGGTACGCTTAGCGGTGCCGAACCATAAAGTTTCGCTGACTTTCTTTAGCGATGAAACGACAAGAACAGCTACGGGAACGCGGACAAAGACGGGAGGATGCCTTGAAATCTGGTGGAGCTGCGAAGCCTGAATACCCAGACACCCTGCCGTTGTAATGCCATTGGATGCCAGATCTCGTGAGTGCCGTCGTACTACTTGAGGTCTCAGGTATGATGGAGAGCGAAGAGGACCCGTGGCCTAGGTGAATGATAATATCCACCGGAGAATATCGATATGGTTGCTGCCTGCTGCCCTGCGCCAAAGCTCATCTGCCACATTGATTGAAGCATCTACTAGTCCAGTGTCTTGAACTTTCTTCAGCCTATGGCATTGCCTGCACTCGTAACCCTCTGAGTATTGGCCAGCAGGTGAGTATAAATGCAAGTCCATGCCCACTTTGCTGAGTGACCTTCTCTCATTCATCGTACATCTTGAACTACAAACGACGACCCCGAGACACTCGAGGGATTATGGTCATTCCCATGCCGTCCATCAACCACAAGGCAACCTCAGGCTCCGAGAACTCAGAGAGCAGCTGGGATGTGTATCTTATATTGGACTCGGATCTGAGTTATCTCAACGACCATAGAAAGCTTCGAGGCCAACTTTTCCCCAGCAATGTCAAGATCAGTATCGTCCCGGTAATCTTCACAGAAACGAAAAGAGCGCACGAACTAGAAAGAAAGATTTATCTTCGAGCAGCGACTCAAGTTGAAAGGTTCTTCGTCGGCTCGCTTCTTGACACGCTTGCTTACAGGGCATACAAGGATAAAGGACACGGCGTCTGGCTAGGCAGGCGTATGCGCACTCTTTACCATGCTCCACATGTTCAAGTTGAGATTGCAATTCCGCGAGAAGAAATCCATCTAAGTTATACTCTGATGTTACTACGGCTTACAAGCACTGAGACGTGGTGAGGCTGGATGGGATTGCCTTTAAGAACCGGCCGAAGCCCTCCTTCATTATACCGTTCGGTGCTATGGTCAAGCCATGAACAGGAAGTCGAGACTGCTCCAGTTCAATGCCCCAGGAATCTGGAAAATAGTCTGTGAAGATCTCGGCCTGCTTAGCTTGAATTCCAAATCTGACACCAGCACTTCTTTGTGGACATATGCCTTCTGCATGCCCTTAGTGTGTCTCACGCCTCCCCTATCCATTGTGAGCTATCGCCCGGTGTACGAAAAGAGTCATCTGCTGACGAGGGAGCCTCACGGTGAAGCGCTCTCTTGCCATCTCACAACAAGCCAGTTCAGCGAACTAGCGGAATTCCATGACAATTTGATCAAAAAAGGCTGGGTATGGAATGAAGAGGGTCAGAGTGCACATCACATGCCGCTGTTGTTATGGACGGGAAGAACGCTGCTGGCACCTAATGCACGTCACACCATATAGTATTATTCACGCCCCAATATATCTTTCTTCCAGAACAAGATCAGAAGGGGTATGCGCGGCCGCCGCCATCCTGGTACTTGTTTCACCCTACCCTATAGTCACGTGCCGTCGCAGAGATGGACCGCACGCCATATGTCTAGCGATGAAAGGACTCAATCACAAACCACAAAAGCATGTACTATAGTAAGCTTTAGTTATATATAGTACCCTGTCGTAATTACTATAAGTCGTATACTCTTGCAATACCTTGCGTTGCTCTGTCCACTGGGTGCGTATGAAAAGGAAACGCTCTATCGTTTCTCGGGTCTGTCTGCCGGTACGTAGATCACATAGTGCCGCTTGGATGTGGTGTATAGTCGTTCACTCTTGCCATGCCCGTCTGCAGCTGCACAAGTATACTAGCCTCTTTGCGCCCGAGCTGATCATACTTTACCTTGGTGTGTTTCCCTGGTAGCGCTACGTCGATTCGCTCCGAGTACTTGCCAACCTTGTCGGGCAGTTGGTCGTAGGTTGCTTCTGTCGGGCCATGTTTGGGCTTATTAATTTCATAGCAGGGAGCTGCTCCGACCGGGTGACGTCTTCTCTCGTCGTCTTCCTAGCTTCTTCCTTTGCCTTCTGTATTAGCTCGTTCTCGCTACTCGCAGGTGACCATTGGGTTCTGGTTCTACCCACGATTGATGTCCTTCCACTGTGGCAGCCATAATCGACCATCGCACAAGACTTGAGACTGAGAGGGTGGCGGCTCCGCCATTATTGCGGGTACCTGCCTGGGGATATCTTGCCGTGTGGCAGCCATCACACGAGACTAGAATTGAGAGGGTGTGATGGCTCGGCAAACACCCCCTTACCTCAATAGGCAAGCCGGGTAGCAGCGTCGGCCAACACTTCCGTGAGGGTGTGGACGCTGCATGAGACCCCTGTTGCTCGTCGTTGCACACACGCGTGTGAGCCATCAGAATCAATTAGGTCGGACGGGCTCACTAGCGCTGTAGGTATCTGCCTGTCTACAAAGGGGACCCTGTGCGTTGCACCAAACCGTGCCACACAAGCGAAATGCATATTTCGAGTTGGCTGACAACGCCGCCAGCACCGCGTTTACTTTTTCAAAGTCTCCACTGTGCCAGATCGGCAGCCTCATCAAAGCCAGATCTCCCTGACTCAGGTCGCCGTGGCCAAGTCCGGCTGTGACGTGATATCACCAGGAAGGCGGAGTCCGTGCAGGGGTTCCGCCGGCTTCCCAATACATACCTTCGCTTAGTGGCAAGCCCAGCGTCTGGCCACAAAGGCCGAAGACGGATATTGTGCGCACCTAGTTTGGGTAGGGATACTGCCCATTCTTGGACACCCCAAAATGGTGCGGAGCGACTCGCCAGAGCGGCACGCCCACCTTACCCATCTCCTGTCTTTCTGCCTCGTAGCCAGCGGCGGCCACTGTGAGCGGCGAGTGTGGGCAACCTTGACCCCCTGGCAGCAAATGGTCGAAAATGGGGCCAGGGTCGGCAGTCCAGGACCACATGAGGATTTTTTAAGAGTGCACTAAAAGACCGTTCTGTGGTGAGTTTATCGTCCTTCTTGACACTACTGTATCCAACAGTTCAGTAGACTAGGTTCCGCCTGTCGCACCCGTGTCTTAGCATAGCCATGTCTTCCCTGATAGACGCTATCCCCTGGGAGGCGCTGATCACCTGGTCAAGCCTCGCCGTGGGACTCACGGCGACCCTGATAACCACTATCGTGCGCCGTCGCTATCTTTCTGCCATATCGAACATTCCGGGCCCGTTTTGGGCCTCCCTCACTCGACTATGGCATGTCTGGATCATCCTCGAAGGAAGGCAGAACGAGCGTCTCGTGGCTCTCCACAAACGGTATGGCCCGTTCGTTCGCATCGCCCCGAACGAGGTCAGCGTTTGTCACCGAGATGCCTCCACGTTCCTTTTGCGAGCCAATCTACACAAGGTCGGTTCGAACAAGTGCATGGTCTGCCCGCGGATAACTGAGTAACCCCCTGCAGGGCGACTGGTACCACGTCACGGCAGTGCCCGACTTCCGCTTCCGGAACCCTATGTCGACGACCGATCCCCGGAAGAAGAAGGCGCTTTCGAAACACTTTGCCCCAGGGTACGCCCCGTCGAAGGTCTGGGGATGGGAGTCCGACATCAACAGAAACATCGAGTGCTTGCTGTCTTGGATAGACGCTTATGCCGAGGACGAGAAGCCGATGCACCTTGATAAGTTCATCACGTACACGACATTCGACAACATAGGCTCCGTCTTTTTCTCGGAGCCGTTTGGTTTCATCAAAGCGGTACGTCATATTCTACAGTAGCCGGAGGTTGTCGTCCTTGCTAGTGACCATGCTCATGGCTAGAGTCCCTTCACGACTTTGAGCTGACGGCAGCAGGGCCGCGATATAGGCGGAACGTTGCGGAACAACGTCACGCTCAGCAAATTCGCAGCCGCCGCTGGTTTCTTCCTCGTGCCCCTGCGCATCCTTGTCAACCCGTTAACTAGTTGGATGCTGCTGCTGCCGATGGGCAGACTGTACAGGACCACGTCAGCGGCTTTGCGGAAGCGGATGAGCAACCCCAGTGCCGGCGACGATATGCTCTCGCACTGGCTTCGCGCTTCCGAAGAATCGGGGACACTGAGCGTACGGGAGATCGAGGCGCAGGCGAATGTGAATGTGGGCGCAGGGGCGGAGCCCGTTTCCAGTACCTATCCCAGTTCCTCTTTCTTAGCCCCGCGCTGACTTAGCCTTGAAGCTGCTATTCAGAGCGTTGTGTATCACATGATCAGGCATCCCAAGGCTTGGTCGACGGCCCGCGACGAGATCGATGCCGCTCGTGCCCAAGGGCGCTGCCAACATCGCGTTGTTTCGTCGCACGACGCCCAGAGCCTGCCTTATGTACAAGCTTGCGTGAAGGAGTCGCTGCGCTTGTTTAGCCCAACGACCATGGGATTGCCTCGTAAGGCTCCGAAGGGGGGCATCACTATCGCAGGCCGACACTTCGCAGAGGGCACCACTCTCAGTGTTTCTTCGCAGTAGGTTTGCGCGCTGTTGGTGAGCCGGTTCACCACGGAAGGCTGACACCCACAAGTGCAGTGCACTTATCGACGGACATCTGGGGAACTGATGCTCACCAATGGCACCCGGAACGCTGGATGTCTGGCTATACAAAGGAGTTGGAGAAAAACTGGTTGGTGGTAAGTCATCGCACGATTTACGGACGCTGCGCCAAGAGCTAAGGAGACAAGTTTTCCGCTGGGTATATGACGTGCCCGGGACGTCACCTTGCGCTGATGCAGGTCTCTAAAGTGGTAGCTTCTCTGATCCACTGCTACGATATCCGTCAGGTGGATCCGGACAGCGTGTGGAACTACCAGGCTAACTTCACCGCGCTGACGCACTCGTGGCCAGTCTATGTGAAGAAGAGGATGGATTGAGGGCTTTGGGTACCAGTTCAGCATTGGAGATCTCTTTCTAAGCACCGAGTCAACAAGGAGGGTGGCAGTAACAGAGACCGCTCGGTGGCTTCCCCCTTAATCAAAGTGGATATGGACTACGTGCTTAGACAGTTGTACTGCTACGCAACAACAGCCAGCCCGCGGGCCCACAATCCTCAAATGCGGCAATGATGCCCCTACTGTCGCGCATGTTGTGGGATATGGTATATCATCGATCACGCGGCGTGCGTGACGGAGAGAACGGGAACTATCTAGATGCGAGGTTGCTCAACTACTGGCTCCGGGCCACGGGGCTATCGGTCGAGACAGAACTCAAACTACGTACTGGAATGAAAATGGATGCTCCTCTCCGTTGTTCTTGTATCATGTTAAAAGAGGGAACCCAGCTCACAGTAAATGCACCCATCTGAGCGAGAGCCGCGAGGCCCAGAGCAGGACCGGAATATCGGACATGGAAGACAGATAGCGATGGCACACGACAACGGTTATCAGGGCCGCCGTGAGTCCACGGCGTTCTTGAACAGGATAGCAGCGTTTCCAAGGGGATGGCATCTATCAGGCAAGACATGGTTACGAGAAGACACGGGAGCAGCAGGCGGGACCTAGTTTCACAGTAAGAGTGCTTAGATGTAGTGAGCAACCGTGTCAAGCCACACCTACGGCATAGGAGGGACGGATGTGTGGCGATCAATATGACAGTGATAGTGGAGTGCAAGATGCTGGCTGGAGGAAGATGTTTGACAAGGGAAGCTGGAACAGAAGTTCATATGAATTATGCGCCTTTCATGTATCTAGAGATACTCGCTCGGACCTATGGAGTGGGCCTATCAACGCTCTGTTCTGCCTGGGTGGCACAGCCGCACCTTAGTGCGACGAAATGTTCAAACTCATGTCCAGGCCCTTCCCAATTCGAATCGCTCGGGTTGCGGCAGAATTTAGAGCAATACCGCCTTGAATCTGCCAGAGACCCTTTATCAGTTTTGTAATCTCGTTCTGTGTCTCCGGAAAAGCTGCCTTGAACCTCTCTGGGAATTCTGCCATGGAGAGACCCCACTTCTCCTTACACGGCCTACACAGCCGGATGCCTCCGAATTGCCGAATATCCTTGGTAGTGCCTGGTACTATGAACGTGCAGTTGGCACACTCCCGACTGCCACTGCGCTGCAGAAGGTCGCAGAATCCATCGAACATTAGCTTGTCAGACTGCGCAACAAAGTCTGCGTACCGTCCGTCATATTTCAGCTGTGCCACCGTCTCCTCGACCCTGTTCCAGAGTTTGAAGTTGGCACGGGTTAGCTCTACCACTTGCTCCGTCTCTGGCTTGCCGATCCGCAGTCCATCCTCGACGAAGCGGTACCTCCGCGTCATCATATGGAGAGGGCCTCCGAAGAAATGCAAGAAATTGACGACGCAGCGCTTGGCGGGATGGGTGGCCCATGGGACGTCGATAGCCCAAAGAACCATACGGTATAGCTGGAAGCTCTTGACGCGCGTGTGGGGGTCGAAATACCCGAAGGTGCTGTTGGTCTCGCCCTCCGCTCGATGCTTGTGGAAAGCGACGGCGTCGTACAGCGTACAACACAACTCTCCGATAAGCCGCCACTGCTCCTCACTGAAAATGACGTCGACACACTCGTTGCACGATAGTGCACTAGCGATTGTGTACCGAACCAGGGCGTCGCAGTCGCGGAGCCGGAACCAGGTCTGGGGCGACTCTGTTAGCGCGCATAGATAGCGACGGAACAATTCTGAGTCGAGTCTTTTGCTAGATTTCTCGACGGAGAGGAGCAGGAAAGCTCGAAACTCGCGAGACATGGCGGCGCGCAGCTCGGTGTCGCTACCAAACAGACTGTCTAGAAGCCCTTCTAGATCGTAGCCGAGGACGATACTACTGCCGTCTTGCGGCACCAAGTCGCCGCGGAACTCTGCGACGACGGCGATCACAATGGTTTTTGTGAATGCCATGTATTTCGCATTGTCCTTCCACTCGGGTATGACACTTTTGGTATATTCATAGGCGCAGGCAAGCGCCTCCTGGATAGTTTCCTCGGAGAGATCGGGTACTTCAAGGCCATCTCGTAGCTGTTCCGGGTAGAACCATACGTCGGGGAAGGTCTCGATATCCGCCGGGTCCTCGGGCATATCAGAGCTATCGGCTTGCCTTAAATTCATTGTGGCGCTTGGGAATCGGAAGAAGGCTGATGCAAACGACGAGTGTACATATCATCAGTGAGTCGGTGATCGGGTGTCCTAGCACTCTTTATAGCCAGCGGCTATTGTGTACGCAATCGGTCGACGAAGGCGCCAAGCCAGCGCCGATGCAATCTCTCAGATCTGCCCATCTCCTTGGCTTAGTTGAGGTCTAGCTGGTGACCGGAACATGCCGAATCCTCCGCCGTCCAGGTCGTCGGTGCATGCGTGCTTGTTGTGGACCCCACTTCCATGGAGCTTGGCCACTTCCAATCATTCACTGATGCTTGAGGAAACCCGATGCGGACACCGCTCAGGGTAGTCTAATTGACAGGCAGAATGCAGCCGTTTCAGCTACAGCAGCCTGCAACCCACTCTGACTGCATAGAGCCCCCAGGCAAGTAAGTGCCCAAAGCCCTGGCGGAGTCAGCACGCCCATTCAGATCTAGCCGTCTCTTGCTGTTTATAGTGGCTGCAGCCGCGCAGAGACAGTGCCAGGGCTATCCTAGCCCAAGGTCAAAAGGAGTTCCCGAAGCGGGACGCAAAGCCAGATGCTAGCGGGGCCATCACACCCTCTCGACTATTATCATCTCTCATGGTCCATCATGGCTGCCACATGGC